GTAAATGATTGTTTGTCTTTCATGTTTGAATGTGTGAATAGTCGTGATTGCTTCTTTTAAAATGAAAACAACAGAAAGAAATAACTGAAATAAATGTTTTATTTACACGATAACAAATTATGGTTTTCTTCCAAAGTTAGTTTACATTACCGATCAACTTGCGCGAGAACCTTCAAGCAAAGACGTCGACCCCCTTCCAAAAATAAAAAAATAAATAAATAAATAACTGATAAATAAATAACACAAAAAATGCGGAGACCAACAGACATTTCCTGGGACTATTATACTAATAGTATAATAGTCCCAGATATTTCCTATGAAAAAACGTAATAAAATCAAAGCACCAAAGGCGCTATAGGCAGTTAATTAAAAAAATCAAAGGTAAACTTGGCAGAAATTAAGATGAATATAGCGGAAGAATGGATGAAAATATTTTTCTCTAATTCTTCGTCAATTTATCCCTTTCTGCACCCATTGTATACAAAAAATTTAATCAACGTGTGGTTCGTTTGATCTCAGTTCTTCATTGGCTAAAATCCGATTATGACGTCGAATTTACTTGCTTTCCTCTGAATTTCCTATTGTGACGGCATGAAAAAAGGCGACCATGCCTGATGACGTCACATAGAAAGAACACATCTTTTTACAGATCATTCGAAAAGACGGAATAAGTTTGCCTGCATATTGTTTGAAAATCATTAGAGAAACAGATTCCACCACCAAATCTCGTGTAATACGATATTTATCCACTCTCGACAGTTAAATTTTAAATATTTAAAACGCTCGGCGAGCCTCGCGTTTTAAATTTGAAAATTTAACTGTCATGACTGTCTCGAGTGGATAAATATCGTATCACACTCGATGCAGTGGTAGAATCTATATATCTCAGCTATTTCTCAAGTATCAAATAATGTTTGTACCGTAATGTTTCTGCTATCCAATCCTACCACTTTCAAAAGTTATTTCCAATTTATTTTTTAAAGATTCAATGTCTGAGATTATGCACATACACTGTCCCATGTTAGGGGAGAGTTTTGTGCCAGCTAACATGTTTAACCCGCTACATTCTGTATGTACCTGTCCATAGTGAGGACCCAGTAATTTGGTGATTGTTGATTGTTGCTGTATATCATATTTATTTTTCATAATTGTTTTGTACATAAATCAGGCTGCTTTAGTTTTATTGTTTTACATTTGTCATTTCGTGGTCGTTTATATCTTACTATGCAGTATAGGTTTTGCTAATTGTTGCAGGCTGCATGGAGGAATATTCTTTTCAGAATAATAATTTCAATTATGGTGTCCAACAGTGGTGTATGGTTTAATTCCACTATGTACTAGAGTTTGAATATGCCATATTAGCGCTTTTAGTTGGATCAGCTGGTGCCACTATGCACAATTATCAAATCATACCTGAAACTATCTGAAATGGTGTAATTTTCTTGTATACTAGTATTACAAGAAATGCTGATGTTGTTATAATGGCCTAGCAATGATGCAACATATATTTTTGAAGGCTGTACGGTTGCCTGTAATTGCTTACATCCACTTCATTTGAATTTTGGTGGATAGTTGTCTCATTGGCAATCATACCACATCTCCTTATTTTTATAATAATTACACATGTCTAATCTATAATAAGCTATTAACACAACGTAATGTTTTGCCTATTTGTTATTTTGATAATGCAAATGTTACACTTAAAATAGTTATACTTTAACATGTAAGTGATATTCAAAGTCAATGAACCATGACTGAAGGTACAAGGCTAAACAATCTCTATGGAAATGAAAGGTGCCAATGCTTGTTCAACTGCAAACCAAATACCATTGACTTTTCATAAGTCGTTCCCTTTAAACAAACCTTAACACAAATTCAATTTCTAAGTCAATGAACCATATAAGGGGGTGGGGTTATATAATATCCATGGAAATGAAACTTTTGAATACCAATACGTTCGCATACCAAATAGCTTTGACTTAAGATTACTGGTAATTTTAAACTGACATAATCATAATAATCACAAACTCATTCATGTAAACTAAGTAAAAGTTTCAAAGTCAATAGATCATGCATATGACTGAGGGGTGAGGACCAAATATCCTCTATGGAAATGAGACGTACTAATGCTTCTACACCTACATGCCAATTATCATTGACCTACCACTATTGGTTTCCCTAATACTTACCTAATCGAAAACTAATAAATGAAATTTCAAAGTAACATAAGTTTCCAAGTAAAAAGAGCATGATTGAGGGGGCGGGGCCAAATAATCTCAATGGAAATTAGAAATGAAAAAGTTTATACAACTGTACACCAAATATCATTGACCTACCACTAGTGGTTCCCCCTAAACTGACCTAATCACAAACATAAACATGTAAACTATGCAAAGTTTCAAAGGCAATAGACCATGACTAAGGGGGTGGGGCCAAATATTCTCTATGGTAATGAGATGTGCCTATGCTAACACAACTACTTACAAAATTTCATTGACCTACCAGAAACCAGACCTTATCACAAAATCACAAACTAATACATTGTTGATTCCGCCAAAACAGCATGCCTATATATATATATATGTCTCACTTTTTGACTCTGTCAAGGCAAGACAAAAAATGCAACAAATTTAATACAAATATTTTGTCCATCTTTTTTTAATATTCTTCATTTCTTAGATATATCAATGCTGCGTTCACACATAACTCGAATTCGATTCACATTATTAACTGATTTGAATTAGTTTAATACGCATTCGAAACGTTTAATGTCCAAAAGTAAATTCTACTTGGAATTGCAATACACGTCAAAATCGCTTTACTGTGAAAACAGGGGTTAAAATTAACATTTGGTACTGGACAGTCCAGGACCTTTGACACTCCAAACTGAAAGGTCCACAACCTAAATTCCAGGTCCTGCTTTTACTTGAAATAGTTCATAACTCAGTAAGATACTTTAATGTGCTTTTGGTGTTAAGTTAGCTTGTTTCATTGTCAGTGTCACTGTCGTTTAACTTGTTTAATAATAAATGTAATTGTCTTGTATATTAATTTATGAATTCAAATAATCTTTTTTTTTTGTATTAGGAAGGCTGAGGGAGGCTGAGGGTATCACTGTGGGTGGGTGTGTTGTCTCAACAATTGATTATTTATTACTAATTATACCATTATATTAAACAGTTCAAATTCAAAACCTGTTTAAGTGTATCATATCTAGTTGCACTATATATTATATTAGCTAGTTCCTCTGTGAAAATAAAGTAAGAAACTTCCAGATTTTTATAGGCCCTTCAAAATTGAGAAGAAATTACCTCATGGAATTGTAGTAATATGTTTAAACAATAAAAACATCTACATGTAATATCAATATTTATTAATGATAAGGAAAATACTGTCACATTTTATTGGTTTTTGACATGAAAATTTGTGAACTAAAAGTAATTTTGAGTTTCTGTATAAAATATTTCCTGCTTTTTCTTTCTTTTCAATATATCTTTGGTTTTCTATTCTAGAGTTTATATTTCATCATGATAGATGTATTTTGTCTCATGCCTGGAATTATTATATTTTTATTGTATTTGATCAGCAAACCCGGAATTACCCTTATCCGCCCCCGGAATTAGATCCGGTATTATAATTGTCTTCATTTCCGGTTTATGGCATCCATTGTTTTTCAATGTTGTTTTTGTCAGTCAGATACGATTTACTCGGATTTACACATAACATGTTGGCGATTTTCGGTATAAAGCTAGCGGTTGAACAAAATGATTATTATCAGAAATCACCAAATTTAAAACGTCCTTGATTTACGTTTTGTCGACGAAGTTAAAATTACCGCCAACTGAGACTTCAACTCCGTGTCATATTAGTCACAGCCGTTATACAATATTCCTGCGCTTTGTGCCATTTGGCAACTGTAAACGACTTGTAATTAGAGATTTTCGGCGATGAAATAATTCATGCAATTGTTCTTTGACATCTTGGCCAAAAGCACAGGGGATAATAAACTACATAAGGATTTCTATTGAGCACTACTTCCTATGTGCAACTTCAAAACTTTTGGGTGGTTCGACGATCATTTAAGGTTTTTCTGGTCATATTTTTTGTATTCCAGAATTAAAAGTATGAAAAAAGTGTTCAATTAGTTATAAATAACATAATAGCCAGCCAGATAATAACAATGGCACATATTTCAGCATTTATTGGGTAGAACACAAATCTAGGGTGCTCGCATAAAGCAGCTTAACTGCTTAAAAAATCCCAACAATTCAACAAACAAAGAGAGAGAATAAAAGTAAGCAATATACAAAAATAATATAATAAATAATTGAACAAAATTGTTAACTGTATTTGTAGATATTAATATTAAGCGTCCGAAAGCAAAGATCTTCCAATAATGTACAGCCTATTTACTATAGTACTATATATATATATATATATATATATGCATATTTAAAAAAAAATACCAATCCATCAAATTTAAAAATGGGTAAGATTTCAACATACGTGGGTAACGTTGCTAATCCATACAAATGATATTTTTTTCTTCTTCTGATAATCACGTCAGTTTATAGATAATAACAGAAGTATATTAAAATCATGAATCCAATATAGATCAATATAAAATACGCTAATTAACTCCCCCTTGAGTTAACTTGAAGGGTGAAATTATCTTGTCAAAGAATATAATTATTAAAATCATTATTTCATAATTTTACAAAAGCAAAGTGAAATTTAATTCTGAGAAAATGAATACACTTTGAATGACAAAACGGGAGTCGTCTCACCTTTATGCTTTATGCGTCATGTGACCTAAGGGAAAGGTTAGACGGCTGTTCTATCTTTTTTTGTTACAAAGGTAAATACGTACAATTAAAAAAGTCATTTTCTGCAAACAGAAAAAAACATTTTTTTGTAATATTTATAACGTAATTTCGATATAATTTTCCGGTATCTGTTTTGATGAAATCACATATGGTTATTATATATACGACATTCCATTGGTGTGTTAATTAAATAGAATAGCTGTACACAGGGAACCTCGCCCATAGGACAAAAATACCATACGAAACTTGTGTATTGGTTTTGTTTTCGTCTGCATTACTGTCAGGATAATATTTTTTAGTATATTGAAGGAGAATACGAAAACAGTTATTTTCAGTAAGTAATTCACACATTATCCAGGAATGAAATGACTGTTGCACTTTTTTTTATAACTTCACAGTGGTCCAAAAAAAGGTTGGTCGCCATATTTTCAAGGGGAAGGAGTATTTCTAAATAGTACAAGTAAAACAAAATGGACAAGGCAATTTGCTAATCTTTATTGTGTCGCTGTCATACAGATTTGAAATTATTTGACCCTTTTAAGAAATTTAATCTTAATAGGTTGTAGTACTTGAGTATTTCCCTCCTGTTTTGTGCCCCAAACAGGTAAATGTTTACCTGAATATACTTACTTCTTATTCTGAACTTACATTTACAGAAGCAAAAGTTCGATACACAATTTTCAATTAATTTAAGAATGGGAAGCAAATGTTGAACCTTTTTTGGTCAGATATGGGGAAGTAGGTCTTCGTGAGATGCATTGATTTGTAGCTCACTCCTGCAGATATTTTGTATCATTCTGATGATTAAATTCTGATCCAAAACCAACATTCCATTTTCAATTCCAATATTTTCATTTTATATTTTAATCAAGGATTTTAATTCTACATGTATGCATGGACCAATAGATATGTATGAGTCCCAGAGTACATGTACTGAATTTTAAAAATAGTTGTTTTAAATTTTATTTCAAAGGTTTTATTGCATAATTTTGGAAAAAGGATACACTCGAAGAAAGTTTTGCCAAGCAAACCCTATATCTCTCTTTACACATGTATGTTAACTTGAAAAATTAATCTTTAAAATAATTCAGATAATTTATTTTGAAATTTTTTGTTGTTTCTGATACATACATGTACATTACATTGTATATATATTTTCATTCAGTTTCATAATCATTTCCTTCTATACCTGTACATTACATATATATGAAGAAATCTAGAGATCTTTTTCCATAAAAAATATAAATAAAAAATCAATTAAGATTCAATCACCCGAACCTTGCTTGACAGTGCCGTTCTCGTGCTATATTCTTATTGACATACACAGCCCGTCTCTGGTTGTGGGATTTTTCTTGCTGCGTTGAAGACCCAATGGTGGCCTTGGGCTGTTTTCTGCTGTTTGGTCGGGTTGTTGTCTCTTTGACTCATTCCCCCTTTTATGACATTAGGGAATTCATAATGCAGTCCCATTGATAATGCTACATGAACAAATTATTTGAATTATTTGAATGATCTATTGGACATTGATCACACTAGTCTAGTTAGATTTGGTTTCATGCTGTAATGCTTTGTAATGTATGCAATTTTTTACTGATTGGAATGTTGGATTAAAGAAATTCAGAAGCAATCAGAATTTTAAAAATGTACACCTGTAAAAAGCACAGTAAATCAGTGGTCAGTCAAGAAAAGGAAGGGTGAATTTACTGGAGCAAATGCAGACCTCTAGAAACACTGCAATATATGGTTTAATTAAATACAGTATGCCCAGGGAGTATTGATTATTGTACTTTTAATGACAGCAAGTTTTCAAATCAGTTGTATTAAATTAATACATATATATTTTTGATTAAATTCTGGGTGTTTGATATGGTTTTATAATCCCATTCCAAAGGATGAAATGTGTCCAATACATTGTTATTATACAATACATGTACAATGTATGTGCAATAAGTGTACTTTCAATACTTTTACACTCCAACCTTAACATAGTCCAATAAAACAGTTCTATTAACAATGATTAAAGAAAAAGAAAACGTTTTGGAATCATAAAATGGTTTATTTTAAAAGAATGAACATATGTTTAAAATGTCTTTTAACAACCATACATTTGTACATGTACTTTTTAGTTCTAACTTCTAATTACCACTTTTAAATTCATCATAGTAAAAAGGGTGTTGGCCCATTTTGTACATAAGAATTATGAATGAACTTTGGCTGTAATCTTTAAAGTATGATAAATCCTGGTATGATCTATCCATGTTAATGAACCTTAGGATTAGTTACAGTTCACTATCCCTTTTTCTAATATTTATAACTTTTTCTGCATGAGCTGACCTAGTTGTGACATGTCACATTGTGATAAATCCTTTTTATCATGTTTATATTGTGTTGAAATAGTTTTGTCCAACTTTAAACTTGAAAAAAATTGAATGGATATACAATTACACACATTATAAAAAGTTGATTTAAATACTAGCATCTTTTATTATTATGCATGCCTGGGTTTGAGGTATTTACTAAGGAAGTACATGTATCAGTGTGTATTACTGCATGTTTTAAAGCTTCGTATCCTAATTTAAATGACCTTTAAAAGTCCCTGTAGTCTTTAAATTGGAACTACATAGTTCTTATAATCAATCATTCAGATAGGGGATACCCCAGTGTTGATCAATTTAATTGAGAACGCTCTTTAAAAGTTGTATTGGTGGTCTGTTGAAGCTTTTCTGATATTTTTGAAAATTACTTGAAGTTTACAAGTCCTCTGTTGTTATTTAGAGGGCCTGGTCTAGATTCGGTTTACAGAAAAGATAATAGTTGGTCAGATCGTTGTCTCATTGGCAATCATACCACATCTCCTTATTTTTATATTAAGTGATGTTGATAGGGATTATTAGAGTACAGTTAGCTCTCGTGTGCTTTCGCATATTCATATCCATATCTTCTGGTAGAAATTGCTGACAACATGATCATCTAACTTTGTTTGCACATGTACATTAACACATTGCACTTGCCTTAAAAATACATATGAATGTAACATGCAGGGCAGTGGTACAATGTATATGGATCATTTTCAATACAGGGTTCGACATTAACTTTTATACCAACTTGTCCAGTTGGGCAAGTGCCCTATTACTTTTACTTGTCCGAAAGTGAAATCTACATGCCCAAACTTTTACATGCCAGGGTTGATTGTTGTGCCATGATGGCAGCAACTAGACTTGACCACTGAGATACTACATGTATGAGGCATATATGACCCGAGGAGGGAGGGAAAAGATCGAGGAATATACGGGAATTGGATCATTTTCATAGAGATACTTATTTCATAATAATTTATCTAAGAAATGCCATTTCAAAAAACCCTTCTTAATAAACTGACAACAACTGACAAATTTGTTAAAGTTTAATTTCATTTTCTCTTTCAAGCTTTTATGTTTTCCATCTTCATGATCTTAGGGAAATACACATCCGATGTCAAATTCTAAAGTTAGAACAACGAAAATAGACCTCCGCTTTCCATTGGTCGGTGGGAATAACACATGCATAGGAAACGCCAGAGTGATGTTCAGATTGATAACGATAATGACGAAGCAAAGCCGCGGCCGCCTGATTGGCCAATATTTTTAAACGTGATCTATTTTTGGTAAAATGGGGAATTCAGTGCGAACAAATGACGAAATATACGCATTGAAGGGGGGTTAAGACAACTTTCCTCGACCGTGCGGTGTTATCACTGAGTAATCTATCATAATGGACAAAACAACAGACACTATTAATTTTGTGAAATTTTAATCATATAACAGTTTTTTTTTCACTTGCCCGATCGGACAACCAAGATGATGTTTTTACTTGTCTGAATACGGCATTAACTTGCCCCGGGCAATCGGACAACCGTAAGTGTCAGACCCTGCAATAGCATCTTGTTGCTGAAATTTAACCAAATAGGGTAAACCAAATTGAGTTCCTGTCTTAGAAGTAAGTGCTAAGTACATTTGAAGTAGATGATTGTGAAACAAAACATCTTTTTGGGACACTGGTTAGACACTGGTGACCGACATAATGATCCCTATTGTCTGATGAACTAATTCATTTTTTGTTCACTTTTATTGTGTAAACTATATGCATGTCTTTATTGAACTATTTCCTTTAAAATCAATTGCACAATCATGACATTATTATGGTTTATGTCAGGTATGATAATGTGATAGGTTAATATAAGACAAAGCATTTGCATTATGTAATGCATGTGTTCTTGAATGTTATCACTGAAGTGCATATCAATGTTTTTACAATATATATATATGATTTAGTTCCAAAACTTCCTAGTTGCAAATCTATGTGTCATATAACATGTACAGTATTTGAAACCTATTTGAAACCCTGAACTTTAAATGCAAATTAAACAATTGCATGACAAATATATATATATGTCTTCTATTGATTTTTGAAAGGTATATTTTGTATTATTGAAATTTAACTATCGAGAGTGGAGAAATATAGTTGTTAAGCAAGTTGGAGTGGTCTTGTAAGAGTATACAAAAGAAATTTGATCTTTCTGTGAGAAGCAATAGACATGTTTATAAAAATAAGACAATGTGGTATGATTGCCAATGAGACAACTTTCCAATAGATACCAAATGACAAAGAAGCAAACAAATATAGGACACCTTCCAACCTTTAACAATTAGCAAAAACCAAACTCACTGCATAGCTACATTTGTACATAGCTTTAAACTTTGGGCTGGACATGACAAAAAGTAAAACAATTCAAATGAGAAAATTAACTGCCTGATTTATGTACAAAACAATCAACGAAAAACAAATATGATACACAACAACAAATGACAACCACTGAATTACAGGCTGCTGACTTGGGAAAGGCACATACAGAATGTGGCTGGGTTAAACATGTTTGCAGGCGTTCCAACACTCTCCTAATCTGGGACAGTGGTGTAACAGCATAAAATAAGAACAAACTACTGTAAAATCAGAAATATTACGTGCATTTAATATTGCGAATTTTGCAGAATGGACAAAAATGCAAGATAATTATTGCAATGTGTGGAAAAGCTGCGCACAAATATATCTGTTAGATATCAGAATGCTAGTTCTTATTATTGCGATTCTCAACCAGTCGCTTTATTCACAATAATAAAAACCTCGCAATAATTTCTGAATTTACAGTATAAAATTCAGTTGGAAATTAAAGGCATGACTCTTTAGATCGACACAATTTGCACAAAATACAACTTATTATTAAAGACTTTCCTTCCAGCAATAGCTTGATACTGAAAAACGTTGAACAGGTGAACCACACCCTATTGCTTTATGGTC